CCCTCGCGCGACATCCGCAAAAATCCTCGCAGCATGTACGCGCGTGTGCCGCAGGCGATGGCGCAATTTGTTCTAAAAATAGAATTATTGTCCCATATTATGGGGACAACCCCAATACTAGAAATGGCGCGCGATTACGGTCTCCGTCCCCGATTATGGCTCCTGGTCGAACTCAACATTTCCCGTTAGAAGTACTTGGGACTCCTCTGGGGCATAATCAGTCAGATGGCAGCATTTAGATAACGTGATTAAAATGGACCAATCAGAACACAGGATTTGCACAATATTCTCGACACCATGTTGAAAACCGAGCGCTATTCGATAGCCCGATCCTCTGGCGCAAAAAATGGGGCCCCACAGATACCACATGGAAAGGAAACATTTTCTACGAATCAAATATATACTCGTTTCCAATAGCGCTCGTTTTTCAAAGTGGCGTCGAGAATGGAATGTGTTAATCCTGCCTCCTGATTAATCCTTTTTAATCACGTGATCTAAATGCTGCTATCTGATTGGTTATGCCCCAGAGGCGCCCCCCAGTACTACTCCCGTCACTTCTCAGACCTTAACGTTTTTTCCGTTCCCCTAGCGTTTTTCTTGACTTGTGGCAACGTTTATTCTGCCCTCCAAACTAGTCATTATGTTATTACCACAACAAATCGCGAATCCATTTACAGCTCTTCTAAGTAAAAGAATTGTTGAGGTAATGTATCAAACGTAAGAGACCGTGTTTTACCGCGTTGCCATAGAACACGGAGAAAAGGGTTAAAAACACGATCGAATCTAAAACTAACCAGTGCAAACTGAGATGATTTCCTTGCTTAATAATGATTGAGAAACGGACTCACTCACAAGCTACCTATAGGGCGCAACATTTTAAATCAAATTGACAATAAAAACATGAACAACACACCAAACGTACGCCAAGTTTGAAACATCTGCGTCTTTTTATAACTTTATTCAGTTCAGCAGAAGAATCTGAGTACAAAAACAACAAGAACAAATCGATAAAAAAACCCAACAATATAACGATATTTCATGTGTCGTATTAACAGACATTTGTGGTTCTCTAAGGTAGACTTGTCAACGACCTTTTAGCACAAATGATATCCTAAAATTTCCTGTCCTCTGTGCATTACTTAATGTATTAGATTATCTCAAGTGAGGACGATTACAATTTTCGATTACAGTATCTTGTTCACTTTCTATCATTTTTAACGCCATTTGTATTTCCTGTATTTATTCGGTACACAACTGAAACATATGATTTGATTCAGTTCACGGAGATTATTTTCAGTATAACTAAGGTAAAGTAGCAAAATAAAACTAATTGATCATCGCTTTCGTTGGACTTTGGTTTTCTTGACCGTGTTTGAGAAATTCTCCTTAAAAAGTTTGTCAAAGTATTTCTCCAGATTCTTGCCAGCCTGTCCGACATCTGAGGTACTCTGAAAGAGAAAAAGTAATTCAAGACTTTCTGTTAATTGTTATCACGCTTTAAAGCTTGTTATTAAACTCCTCATCAATCAAATCACGTGATAAACGTACCAGATTGTATTTGTCGCTGTTTGTAAACACCAGTCGCACATCTGACACAAAGCTATCCACATCCGGGTACTGTAAAGTCTTGAGCTTTTCCTTAATGGTGCCCAGGTCCATGGGGGTTGCTATGAGTTCCGAATAGTCTGGAACCTGCAAAGTTACATGACAAGAATGCAAAATGAGAATGAGCAGCGATTAGGTCTGACGGAGAAACAAACACATTCTATTTCAATGGCTTGGCAAATCAAACGGCTAGAAAAGCGATATAGACCTCATCAAGAGAAAAATAACCACAAAACCTACCTCGCGCAAATTCACAGCTTCTGTAAATGGCCAGCTATCTTCATGAAGAAGGAGATCCCGTACAATTTGTTCACAGGTACCCATCTAGACGAACAGCAAACACGGACAACGTTTTAATTAAAAGTTAACAATCTTGTATGAACGAAGCATGTTCTTATTGTTCATCTCCAAGCCTAATTGGAGACACCACAAAGATATAAAGAATGTGAAATTTTTATGACGAAAATGAAATTTTTTAATAAAGTAAACTCTTCAGGGACCGCCCTTTGCTGTTTCTGCGTTTTAAACCCTTTCAGTATATTATTTCTCCATATTAACTGCGATGCACTACCTTAATATCATTTCTGAGGATTTATGGGTACGTCAAAACAATATCGTCTAGGTATAAATCCTGTTAATTCTTGTTAATCTGCCTGTGTGATATTTGTGGAAAGAAAGAGGAAAACAGTAGAACTTACCTCTACATTAACACGTCGCCGTTTGGTTTCTTCATGTAAAACTTCAGTCTTTCCAGTGTTCCTGGCTTGCTTTTGCCCGTCTTTGGTTGCAGAACTGGAAAACAGAAAAAGGAACAAATGAATCTACTGAAAGAACCTGTAGAAATGTCACTGCTTGGAAAACAATGCGATTAATGAAGTACGTCAACAACGTCCTTGTTTATATTCTCCAGTTGTAGTCACCCGTGTTCCTATTCGGTTTATTGGGGTCTCTTCCTGAAATATTTAGGGAGCTTAAGCAAGCCACGACGACGACGGAAAATTGGTTCTCTTTGCACCCTGGACATAAAATTAATGTCTGAATTCAATACCTGTTTCTAAGTTCACCCTTCTTTCCTTTTTCTTTCCCATCGTTTCCTTTGCTATTGCTTTTCATTGTGTTATCAGCTTTTCCATCTCCATTAATCTTGTTTCCTCGCCGTGCTTGAGTCTTTCTCGTCGCTGTAACTTTGTTTGTTTTATTAGCTGCATGTGACGTGTTTCTGAGTGCTTGCCTCTTGGAAGTATCATGTCCACTCTCTTCAGACTCTTCTAATGAGCTTAAAGTACTCCTACTGCGCGAGGTATCTTCGTCACCGTCTTCGGATTCTTCGGGAGAGCTCGGGATCTGTCGCTGATTTCTCGTTGATTTACGAGCAGGCCTTTGCGACGATTTAGAGCGACTGCCAGTCTTACGTAAGGAAGATTGGCGGTTTTCCTTTCCTGACTCTTCTTCATCGTCGACGTCTTCATCCTCAGAATCATCTGCCAATAACAAGAGTAATCATTAGGATGAGAAAGAAGAGGAGCAGGAGGAACCGACTATTGTACTTTTTACTGATTCCCTCCTCTCGACCAAAACAGACAATCCTAATTTCCTCAGGCCAAGGTTAAAAGTCGAACTTTACATGAGACGAACTAAACCGAGCGAATTAAGTACATGATGACGTTTGACTCAACTGCGTTCGTCCGACTGAATAATAAGATGGACCAACACGTTCTATCCGTCTGAAGTAGAGGATCTAAATTCGAATTAAGTTCGACGTTTGACCCAACGAACGAGCTTTACCCGTTCGGATCGACTCAAGTTGCAATTTAGTTCGTCTCATGTGAAGTTCCATGTTTGACCTGAACCTTATGTAACATCCTAATTATCTCTCAGCAGTTTTCAGCACGATCGATTCTACAGCACGTTGAATTCGTTTAACATGGGATCGGACTATTTTCCTCTTCTGTTTTCCTTCAATTTTGGTTTCTCCGAAAGTATAAGTATAATCAATGGCAATTTCGATTTACTGCATTAACATTTGAACAAGCCAATGAGGTCAGGATTTCATTGTCACCAAGGAGACGGCTGACGACAAAACATTTAAATGACAAAATACACACATTCCAATTTAAAATGATACTAAAAAATAAACAAAACCTGATTACTGAAAAAATATTGTGCTGTGTCGGAACGCAGATGAAACGCATAAGTTAATTATTGACTCTAAAAAGTTGATTAAGGTAAATACACGTCTTGGACGCATTCCAAATTCGCCATAATGGTTAATTCACCTTTATCAGCTTCAAGTTTATGTCACTAACAAGTTGTAGGTGAGCGAAGATCGTAAAACTGTTAAACTAACCCAAGATTTGAGGCCTGTTTCTGAGAGATCCACGCCCACTGTTCCTTGATGTGTTCGTGTATCGCTTATTTGTCTCATCCTCCTCCTCCTCCTCACTGGAAATTTTCTGTCGGCGGGCTCGTCCACTGAACCTCCCATAAAACGATTTGACGTTAGACTTGCCTCTCTTCTTTTCTTCGTTTTCATCATCTGAATCGTGTTGACATATCCTCTGTAGCCTACTTGAGGTTCTGCCATTTTTCACCACCTTGCCTGTACGCTGTGTGGTTTTTGATTTCATTTTACCGTCAACGCTTTCATCATCAGACATGTCTTCAAGACACGCACGCGCATTCCTTCTCCTGTCACGCGCGCTCTTACCATCGACGATTTCTATTGGTTGACGACTCTGACGAGTTCGCTTTGACACCGTCTCGCTACCAGACTCCTCCGAGCTTCGAGAGTGGGGACGCTTGAGTTTGTTACTTTTTGAAGAACGCTCGTCCTTCCTGCCAGGCTCTTTGACTTTGTTTTTGGCTTGTTTCGACCTTTTCATCTGGCCACCTAAGGTCGATTAACCATTAAATGGATTAATATAATGAAAATAAGATGACTTTGTAGCTCCTAGAATGGACAACAACTCCAGCCACAGGATGAGTTGTGCTGTTTATGTCGATATTTTGTAAACGTAAACTACGAATTAAGGAATGTGGGAAATTCAACATGACATTTCATTCTACCTTGCTGATTCTTTTTCTGCTTTTTGTTCTTTGGCTGGCGACACTGCCAACAGCTCCAGGCTCCCCTGAAAAAAGAACATTTCATTGTTTGTGACAGCTCAGCATCGTGAGATCATTAAAGCAACCGTGGAGAGAAACTAAAGAAGAGCAACATAGACAAAGTCAAGTTTTGCGAGCAAGTTTAAATGCCTAACAACCCATGCTCCCTCAACAAAAATTCTTTTGAAATCGTTTTCCGATCATTGCACTGAAGATTGTCGTCAGACATTCCCGCAAGTAAAATCAGTGGAGCGCACGTCAACCGAGCGTAATACAGTTTAACACTTGATGAATACGTGCAGTCACTCCTGCAGAAAAATGAGTTTTCTGGAAAACACGTGATGTGCGCATGAATAATACGTGATACAAGCGAGAGTTTTTACCGAGGTATGTGCCTGAGAGGGGGCTGGTGACAGTCTTTGTGGAACACCAGAGGACATGAGTCACAGCAGATCAAGTCGCCTTCTTCTCCACACGTGTGACAATAGTCTTCATGTTCATCAGATTCATCCTCTGAACTTTCATCAGAATCATCAATATTGGCTTCACTTGGCTGGTGAATAAACACAACGGGTAGATATTTGTTCATCTTACATCGAAAAACCTTAGAAAAGATGGACTAACAACTGACTGTCAGAATGACTGTCTGACTGACCGACACTGACTGTCCGACTGACTGACTGACTGTCTGAATAACTGACTGACACTGACTGTCTGACCGACTGACTGTCTGAATAACTGACTGATTGACTGACTGTCAGAATGACTGTCTGACTGACTCTCTGAATGACCGACACTGACTGTCTGACCGACTGACTGACTGACTGTCTGAATAACTGACTGACACTGACTGTCTGACCGACTGACTGTCTGAATAACTGACTGATTGACTGACTGTCTGAATAACTGTCTGTATGACTGACTGGCTGACTGACTATCTCGCCAACTGACCAACGGACAGACGGACTGAATGTCTAACTGTCTGACTAACTGACTTTCTGACTAATTGACTGACTGTCTAACTGACGGCCTGCCTGTTGATGAAATAAGTAAGGTCAATTTAAATTCCACGTCTTTATCAACGACACAGCTGTCATAAGGCTTTTACAGAGCTTGCAAAACACAATGTAATCCTAAAAGCATACACATGATTAGCACTTTTAAATTAAAACTGGGTCAGTAACAGTTATCAAATACCTCTTCTTCATCCTCTACTTCACTTCCACTTTCCTCTTTGTAATTTTTGGCACTTGTTCGGCTACTCTGCCTTTCACTCGGCTAAAACAGAACCAGAACAAAATTGACAATTACAATATTGTACAGGCCTTTATGTCCACACTTGCTGAGGTTTTCGTAACTATATTTGTCTGTCGATACACATCAGACGTGGAAGATATTTTACAATGCAACTAGTAGGTAACTTCTCTTAAAGATAAACTACAACAGATTTGTGATCTGAAATAGGTCCATTCTGTTAAAAGATGGATTACCTAAACAGAAAAAAGACAAGCAAAAGAAGGCACCACGTAAAATTCGGCCTCTTGTAGTTTAATCGTATCTCTGACAAAATTCTCCACCATGAATCGGTGCACGATCACGTGGTTGTCCAATGCCTTCGCCATTCGCGCGTCAATTACCTCCGATTTTGAAATTACTCGCCCGATTACTCCCTGAATTGTATTCCACTCAGTCCAGTTACCAATAGTTAAGCTTATTACACAGAGCTAAGAAAGTGTTTCTGCAGTTGCCACTGTTGAACAAGGTGTTCACAGGGTACCCACTCCCCGTGATGCCAACAGGTACCTCTCTCCGCTTGTAGTGGCTTACCGCGAATCATTACCTTACAAGCAGGACAGCTCCAGTGCCCCTCAGGCACTTCAGATAACGCTGGACGTACACACTGAAGATGATAACCTAAATTACAGTCATCGCACAATATCAGAGTGGTACCAATTCCCTTGAGGCGACAAATCTTGCAGCACTGTAACATGAAACAAGCCAAATGGAATTAATAACGGTAAAGTTCCAAATCTAACACACTGGCTCAGGGATAGATAACCCTATCTATCGAATAATTCAGTATCCAGTTGTTCTAACACACACACACATACCGCATTTTCTGCAGATAAATCCCAGATAACGGTAGAATCCAAAATTTCAAGCAGCAGATGAAGCCTAGACACAGTTGTGGCTTGTTTCACTGCATCCAACCAGCGCTGTTTCGCTTCTTCCGAACCTTTCTTGTCTTTGCTAAACAAACCTTGATGGAATTGAGGTAGTACAGCGGGCAGCAACTTCTCAAGCTGTGATGCCTGAATAAAAACGAGATCTCTTGGTCTCATAAACGGTTATATTAAGTTATAATTTTAGTAACTCGCCTAGAATGTCTTTGCTAAAGGCGACCTTCCAAGGACTATTATCTGAATTTGTGAAATAAAATCGTTGTTTGTCTATAAAACCAAGAGATAAAACTTGATAAACCTAAAACAAAATGTGAACTGGGTTGTGGGAATTTCCTTACGCTTGGCACTGGTTACATGATTTCCCTTGCTCGACACTGCGGCATGTTTTATTTTTGTGCTTACCAGAAGCTGCATGTTTTCTGGCCTAACTTGGAACTACTGCATGGTACGTAATGGCCCCTGGATAGTGTTTTGTGCATTGAATGAAGTTTAATACAGATCTACCTGGTGCACAGTAAAAACAGTACAAGGTATGTAAATGTTTAAGGCTTACCAAATCACTGATAGTTGAACCTTGATCTACAGTATGTTGATATTCTTCCAGGGCTTCATGAAGCACAGCTAAGTTTCCACAAACAAGTCTTTCAGCAGTGTCCTTCAATTCCTGTTACAATGACAGGAAGATCGACAACAAAACATGTGAGAAACGCTGTACATAAACAAAGGCAGTATGGAAATGTGTCGCACAGAAATATCAATGGCAGATTGCTCGTAGCTTTCTACCCAGTTGTTTACAAGACAAACATTTACAAACCTCTTTAATAGAGCTAAAAACTCCCTCTTCATCAGTTTCAGGCTTTGTAGGTTTCCTGGACACGTTTCTGTTGAACAATAATATTAAGACTTAGGTTTAGAAAGATCACTCACAGAACGAAGTTATTATTATGAATGCCAGGGTTTCGAGTTAAATATTACAGATCTCTCAAGCAGAGAAAACAATAAGCAAACGACGACTGCGGTTTGTTTTCTTGGTCGTAAGTTATACAAACCTTCTATTAATAGCATCAGTAATAGTTTTAAGTTTTTCTTTAAGAGATTTCTTCAGTGCACTCTCACGTATGCCTTGATGTGATAAATGGTCAATCAACGTCTGTACTTCTTCTACGGTGCTGTAACATAACCACTCATATGAAATGTCAGGAAACCTGTTATGAAAGAGGAAAATTTGTCATGAAAGAAGGCTTCACCATTTTACCACCTAGAACTTGGGAAAGTGAAAAACGTGACATGAAAGTACTGCTCAACAGCTGTGATTTAAGGTTTAAAGAGCTCACGTTTGACTTTCATCAACAAATTTACCACTACATTGAATAGAAAAATAAACATTATCCAGAAAAGCTCTGGGTAACTTGCATGGCACAACTACAACAGTACCAAATGAATGAACTACTCGATAGCTTTCATTTGAATGGCCACACACTAGTGTTTCATGTAACTCTACAGACATAGAACCACCTTGTACAGCATACCAAACAGTACCACAAGAAAGTACTGCGCAATAGCTTTCACACACTAGGGTTTCATCCACAGACTTAAAAGTTAGAACCACCTTGCACAGCTTAATAAACAGTACCACATGAAAGTACTGCTCAGTAGCTGTCGTTTGAAAGGTCAAACACTAAGGTTTTTTCAGAGATTGAAACGTCCATGTATAGCAAAATTACATATAATCTTATGTGAAATTAGCGCCAAGCAATCCCTCAATAGAAAGCTGGACCAGTACTGGCTAAAAAGAACACTTTGGCCAGACCACACCCTACCTCCAGTCTCGTTCATTGACTTTTGCAAAGGAGTCCATCTTGTTTTCAACTTCTGTTGTTTCTCCAACCATTTCTATGTCAGTGTCACCTTCGACGTCCCCACTTTCTCTTGAAGGCTCCTCAGCAGTTCTAGAAAGATTGTGTAAGTTCCACCAGCCTTGCTCTACAAACACTCCTGCCGCTGCACCATTGAACACCCAGTAACGGGCATGATTACGATCACATCCAATTGGATTCAGTCTTAGAGTGTACTGACACTGAGCCATGTTAACCTGCAAAGAAATAAGGAATACTCGTATCACGGAACAATTTGGTATGATGTCACTATTTACAGAACTCAACGTTGACCATATATTTGACCGGCATTGTTTTCCTAAATTTTGAATTTTCCTAAAATTTCACTTCCTTGCTTAACTTATAAGTTCAGTGCCAGTTGTTGTGGTCTAAAAGTGTTCTAATTAAACGTGAAGACAAAATTAAGGCGGCAACTGTTCAAACTCATTATGTAATTACCAAGTCATACATATGGGTTATTGACCAAGCTTGTT